CCGTTATTGAGCTGCTACCCTATTCCTGGTGGAAAAAACTATATCCTCATGATGGCTAGATTGTACAGCATACAGCAGACCATGAAGAATTGGGACACAAATTGCAGTGCGCTTCTGCAGTTCAAGCAGTAGAATAATTGCTCAAGCACCTAATAGCCTCCATTAAGATGCTTCATGTAATAGCATGCTTGTCTTTAGTATATGCTGGCTACGTGTTGTACACATGTACACCACAGTCAAGAGCTCAATGATGTGGATTCCCCTAATCATGCAACAGGCACTGTCTCATCTGATAGGTTGCTCAAGCATGATGGGAATGGAGCACTTGGTCTGAACGTTTTTTTTTGTACAGTCTCTCGCGAAATTTGTGGGTTGTTGCATGGCCAGCATTTATTACCCTTCCCTAGCTGACCTTGAGAAGGTGATGGTGAGCTGCCTTCTTGAACTGCTGGAGTCCATTTGGTGTAGGTTACAGCCACAATGCCATTAAGAAGGCGATTCCAGGATTTTGACCCAGTGATGCTGAAGGGATGACAATATATTTCCAAGTCAGGATGGTGAGTGGCTTGGAGGAGAAGTTGCAAATGGTGGGTGCTCTCAGGTATCTGCTGCCCATGTTCTCCTAGATGATCATGGGTTTGGAAGATGCTGTCTTGGAGCCTTGGTGAATTTGTAGATGGTGCATACTGCTGTTACTAAGTATGAGTGGTGGAGAGACAGAATGTTTGTAGTTGTGCCTATCAAGCGAGCTGCTTTCTTCTGGATGATATCAAGTTTCTTGCAAGTTGTCGGAGTTGGGCTCACCCAGGCAAGTGGGGAGTATACCATCACACTGCTGACTCATGCTTTTTGACAGTCAGGAGGTGAGTTACTATTTTTAACCTCTGACCTGCTGTTGTCACCAAATCTTCATATGACTAGTCCAGTTCAGTTTCTGGTCAATGGTAACCCTTAGAATATTGATTGTGGGGATTCAGTGTTGGTAACATCACTGAATGCCAGGGAGCCAATGGTTAGATTCACACTGTTGGAAATGGTAATTGACTATCATTTGTGTGGTGTGAATGTTACTCGCCTATTGTTAGCCCAAGCCGAGATATTGTCCAGATCTTGTTGAATTTGTGCATGGTCTGCTTCAGTATCTGAGGAAGCATGACTGGTGCTGAACATTGTCCAGTCATCAGTGAACATTTCCAATTCTGACTTTATGATGGAGGGAAGGTCATTGATTGAGCAGCTGAAGATGGTTGGGCCAAGGGCATTGAATTCCGACAACCACAACTGTTTTCCCTTGTTCCAGGTATGTCTCCAACCAGCGGAGAGTCTTCCCCTGGATTCCTACTGACTTCAGTTTTGCTAGACATCCTTGATGCAACACTTGGTCAAAAGCAGCCTTGATATTAAGGGCAGTCACTATTGTATCAGGTCTAGATTTCAGTTCTTTTGTCCATGTTTGAATGAAAGTTGTAATGAGGTTGGGAGCTAAGTGGCATGGGCAGAACCCAAACTGACTGTCAGTGAAAACCGAAATAACTGCAGAAGCTGTAAATCAGGAACAGAAACAAAGTTGCTGGAATAGCTCAGCAGGTCTGGCAGCATCTGTGAAGGAAAAAACAGAGTTAATGTTTCGGGACCAGTGACCCTTCCTCAGAACTGATGGTGGCTGGGAAAACATCAGTTTATATGCAGAAAAATGGGAGGGATATGGGGTAGGGAGTAAACGATAGGATAGAGCCTAAACAGAGAAGAGCAGTTGGACAGACAAAGAGTTGATAATGATCAGGCTGGGAGGGTGAATAGTTGTTAATGAAGACTATTAGTGACTAACAACAGCCTGCCATTACACGCAACCTACGTGGTAACAAGGCCTGGTGTTTGGGGAAGGGGGCTGGGACATGGAAGAGTTTAGGCCTAAAATTATTGAATTCGATATTAAATCCAGAGGGCTGCAGGGTCCCCAAGCGGAAAAGGAGATGTTCTTCCAGCTTGCGTTGAGCTTCACTGAAACACTGCAGCAAGCCAGAGACAGAGATGTTGGCCAGGGAACAGATTGGTGCGTTAAAGTGGTAGGCAACAGGTAGTTCAGGGTCTTTTTTGCGAGCAGGACATAGACGTTCTGCAAAGCGGTCACCCAGTCTATGCTTCATTTCCCCAGTGTAGAGGAGACCACATTGTGAGCAGCAAATGCAGTTGACTAGATTCTGGGAAGTGCAGGTGAAGTGTTGCTTCACCTGAAAGGTATGTTTGGGCCCTTGGATACTGGGGAGAGAGGAGGTAAATGGGCAAGTGTTGCACCTTCTCGGCTACAGGGGAAGGTGCCGTAGGGCTGTGGGGGTGGTGTTGGGGGTGAAGGAAGTGTGGACCCGGGTATCCCAAAAGGAACAATCCCTGTGGAAGGCGGACAATGGAAGGGAGGGGAATATGAGTCTGTCTCGTCTCATATTCCCCTCCACTCCCCTCCCCTCCCTTGTCTGCCTTCCACAGGGACCGTTCCTTCCGGGACACCCTGGCCTTCCACAGGGATGGTGATGATGTTGTCTGAGATGTTATGTGTAAGGCATGATTCTGTGAGTATGACTATGTTAGGCAGTTGCTTGACTAGTCTATGACACTGTTTCCCAATTTTGGCAGTAGCCCCCACATTTTAGGGCTGTGCTTTCCAGTTGTTTCCAGTACCTTAGTCTTTGCTTTTTAGCAATCAATACAATTGAACGAGGGCAGTTAATAGTTAACCATATTGCTGTAAGTCTGTAATCACATGTGGGTTGGACTGGGTAAGGACAGCAGTGTTCTTTCCTGAAGGGCATGAGTAAACCAGATGGGTTTTTCTCCAGTGGCTTGCTTGGACATTAGACCTTTCAATTCCAGACTTTATTGCGGAATTCAAATTTCACTATCTGCTATGATGGGATTTGAACCTGGGTTCCCCAAACATTAACTGGGACTCTGGATTATTAATCCAGCGACAATACCAATCGGCCATCACCTACCCTTGGATATAGGAATGACTGCTGCTAAGACACTGGGGCACCCACCAGCATCATGTAATGAATAAAGTCACATGCTATCTGCATATTCTGCAAGTGGAACCCTGTGCACATGCAGCAGAATCATAGAGTTGTACAGCACGGAAACAGACCCTTAAGTTCAACGTGTCCATGCAGACCGGATATCCTAAATTAATCTAGTCCCATTTGCCAGCACTTGGCCCATATCCCTCCAAAGCCTTCCTATTCATGTATCCATCCGGATGCCTTTTAAATGTTGTAATTGTACCAGCCTCCACCACTTCCTCTGGCAGCTCATTCCATACACGCATCACTCTCTGCATGAAAAAGTTGCCCCTTAGGTCCCTTTTATATCTTTCCCCTCTCACCTTGAATCTATGCCCTCTAGTTTTGGACTCCCCTACATTTTGGTACAGCCCCCACAAAAGTATAAAATCAATGGTCCCCAACGCCAGAAGGAAGGCAATTATCCTGGCAAAACCATACGTACCTTCTGCTTCCTTAATGAACTCTGCTCTCCTTACACCATCAGTCACCTCCCTTGTGTAGTATTATGAACTTGGAAATGTCATCTGTTCTAGTCTGGAAGGATCCGAATGCAACAAAATTCATAGCCATAGCAGTTTCACATTGTTCTTGCCCTGAACTGTGACTAAGTCTAGTTGCAAGAAATTTCTGTGAATAACTCCTTTGTAAAATGTAGATGGTGTACAACCTATAGCTGGCTTAGGTTGAAAGAAAATAAATGTTTCTTGAAGACTTTATGTGGGTAAAGCCTCCTCCTGGGAATCCTTCTTCCTTCCCTCTGCAACCACCTCCCTATAGAGGCTTGTCCTTTTCTCCAAGTTTCCTTTGGTCGATTTCCCTTATGCTGCAAATAGGGTTAAGGACTAGAAACAAGTTGGTCTGACTGGACAATTGAAGTCAGGCCTAAAGCCTTCCTCATGTCCAACATTTAACCCTGTCATCTTTAGCAACCGTGGAAACCACCAAGCACTTCTACAAACTCAAACAGAATCAGTAGAATTTAATCAGCACAAACCTGAGAAATTCACAATGAGAAAAAAAATTACACACTGAAAAAGATGTAGAGTAATAGACAAGCTTAGATAGAGTGAAAGAGGAAAGTAATAGAGGACGTTGCCCATTTAAGAGGCTAGAAAAGAATGTAAAGCACTTTATATTAGAAGTACTCAGTCATAGAATTATACATCACAGAAACAAACGCTCGGTCCAACTCATCCATGCTGACTAGATATCCTAAACTGATCTAGTCCCATTTACCAGCATTGGGCCCACATCCCTCTAAATCCTTCCTATTCATGTACCTATCTAGTTGCCTCTTAATTGATGCAATTTTACTGGCCTCCACCGCTTCCTCTGGCAGCTCGTTCCATACACACACCACTCTCTGCATGAGAAAAGTGCCCCTCAGGTCCTTTTTAAATCTTTCCCCTCTCACCTTAAATGTATGTCCTGTAGTTTTGGTCTCCCCTACCCTGGGAAAAAGACCTTGCTTATTCACTCTATCCATGCTCCTCGTGATTTTATAAACCTGTACAAGGTCACCCCTCACCTTCCAACAGTCCAGGGAAAATAGCCTCAGCTTATTCAGCCTCTCCCTACAGCTCAAACCCTCCAACCCTGCATTGTCCTTGTGAATCTTTTCTGAATCCTTTTAAGTTTAACAATATCTTTCCTACAGCTAGGAGACCAGACCTGAATGCAGTATTCTAGAAGTGGGCTCACCAATGTTCTGCACAGACACAACATGACATCCCAATTCCTGAACTCAATGCATTGACTAATGAAGGCAAGCGTGCCAAACGCCTTCTTCACCACCCTGTCCACCTGCAACTCCACTTTATTGCTGACATTTTTTGAATATAAAACATCTGTTAAAGTCACCATTGTCCTACAGCATTTTCATCATTAAACAAATGAAATAAACTAACGCTTTATTTTTCCTCATTCCTCCTATGCCGCCATTACCTGCTTCACTGTTGTTCTGTGGAGTAGATATGGAAGGACTGGATCCTCCCTCTAGCACCTGCCAAATATCTTGAATAGAACTGTCTGCTCCATAGGATGACATTATTAGTTCCGATTGAGCGGATGGACCATGCATCATTGGTTGTGTCTGGCTTGGTTCTGGTACAAGAAAATGTGACTGGCTAGTCACTGAGATGGTGGTTTCCTTTGTTTTACCATTCATGGATTTTCCTGTTGACAGTACAGCTGGATTCTGAAAGTCAGATCAGAATAAGAAACATCCCATGCAGATTCAGTTGTAAGAATTAACCACATCTGTTTTTGTTAATTATTTACATATTTTAAGTAACTCTTTTTCCCTCTGCTGACGATGTTGACTTTTTGCTGAAATATAATTCTACAAGCACCAATAACGTTGCCCGAATGACCATTATTTGTCATCATTCCCAGTAAATTTCAGGCTAACAGATCACTGGAATAATAAAAGCCAAGCCTAATTTTGTCCACAGTTGTGTATTTCCACCAGAATACACAAATGCTAATCAGTGATGGGGATCATTGACTCTTACCCTTCCCAAGTCTACAAACCAGAATTGATAATGCTAATTGTGTAGCTCCTACTCCTGCAGTAAAGATCAATTAATTCATTATATGTTTGGGACTGAACATGAGACTTTCCTAGTATGTTTGGCTTAGCTACCTTTTGGATAAACTCAGAGAGCCATCAAACAATTCTTTAGGTATACCTTTCCTGTAGAATTTGGCTTTCAGATCATGCAAGAGAAACACCCAACAGAAATAGTCACTTGTCAGAATTGCTTCTAACACACAGATGGATTTGCAAATTTTCTTTTTCTCTTGCCAATTATTCCCTTTCTTTCTCCTTCCTTTCCTAAAGGTTTTGACTCCTGTCTGGGTTGCAGCTTGATGAGCGTTGGGTGTCATTCCTATTTGATTGAAGTAGTCATTCTTTTATGCATGAGCCCAGATATTCAGTTTTGGAAGGCGTGGTGGTAATCACAATTGAGCTAAAATCTTCTCCTCATCCAATATCCACAGAATTGTCAGTATATTTTCCAGTCGGGAACCAAACTGACACTGATGCTAAATGCAATCTTTGTAGACTGGCTGAAAATTGGTATCTAGTTTGGAGGTTCACTGATTTATTTGATTAAGTTACTCATTGCATTAACCAACTAATCAATCAGTGGTGACAGGATGGGTGTTGGTGCTTTGGAAGGCAGACACTGACGCAGGGCATGTAAAATAATGTAGCACAGAAGGAGGCCATTCTATATTGTGCAGAAATTTACACACCCGACTTTATATTTTGTTGTTTTATAGATTAGGAAAATTAAAGCAGGCAGAACGCTTTTTTTTGATGATGTTTAGCAGAGTATGATGGCAAGATCCCTGAAGGAGATCAGCCTTCGATTTCCTCACTTGACCACCCCCCAGTCTCAAACATCCAGAAAGTTTAAAATAAAAGTCTAATGTAACACTGAAGGGTAGTTCTTCACTTTCACATTTCCAATGATGTGCACGTGATGCATAAACTTCTTACAACCAATGTAAATGGAGAGACAATCACGAATGTTGCATCTAAACTACCAAACAAAGCCTATTGGTGGAAAAGGCATCCCACAAAAGTTATTGTCGCAAAGAGCATCAGTGGATTCCAGGGACCCCTGCTGTTTCAACAAGTGAGTTTTGCTGGAAAGAGTTTAATGTATGATGCCATCTATTGGCTAACATGGTAATGATGTCCTAGAAATAGGCAAAACAGCAGGTATCATCACAAAATGGATATGGATTAGGAAATCCAATTCAATTTACCCATCCAAAGGAACCTATTGCTTTTTTAAAATATTTGAAGATTTCCTTTGCACTAACAGTAAGGAAATTCACTCCATGCGTCAACATATTCTACCTGTGCAGAATTACACTGAAATTAGTTCTAAATTTGACCAATTATTGCAGTTTGAGCCTATGGGCCATCATTTTTGTCATTGGTGATTTGAAGTATTGTTTCAAATTTTGCTGTTCTATATCTTTGTATTCTATAATAATATGGAACCCATTTTGTACACCTGGCAATTCTCAGGATTACTAAACTTGGGCAGCAGGGTTGGCATTATAAACTGCGATATCATAGGGAGGCTATGATTTGATTCGCAGGTGAATATTGTAGCTTTGTCTCCCTTTCTCCAAAGTCAGAAAGTTAGTTTAAAGAGTTGGCATAGTAAAAATTTCAATTTTTCATTAAGTATTTCAAATACTTCAATAGGCTCCAGAGCTCAAGCAGCAGTTAGTGTCACTGTGCCCGAGGCCGAGAGCTTTCTGAACACGCGTATGGTTATCCTGAAGCTTAAGAATTTGTAAGGAGAACAGGAATGGATGATCACCAGGCAGTTTAAAAAAAAAGGTAGATGTGTATTGTTAGAATTCCGAGAGTGCAATCAGTCTTCACCATTGTCAGTATTTAAAACTGATGGTTTATCTGGGGAATGCTCAGCTGTACAGGGGGAATGAAGAAAGCTGAAAGAGCATTGGTTATAGGAAATTTGATAGTTAGGCAAACAGTCAGGGATTTCTGTCGACAGATATGAATGATATGTTGTCTCCGTGGTACCAGGTAAAAGATGTCACTTGAATGGCTGCAGAGTATCCTGAGGGGCAAGGTGGAACGTTCAGTAGTCGTGGTCCACACTTGTATCAGCAATACAGATTGGGTATTGCTGAAAAAAACTTTTGTCAATGTTTTACATCACTCATCACAATTCACAAGAAATACTAATATATTTTGTCACTTATCCAGACAGTTACCATGAAATACCAATATAAATGGAAAGCAACCTTTTCATATTGTGTGAGAAGAGTGCTGATTGTTTGACAACTAGTGACTGATTGTAAGGAGCATTTCCATGGAGAATACACCAGAATTGCAATGCCTCTACCAATCAGAGTCCACTAACTAACTACATATCCATTACATCGCTATATCTTGTGAATCATCCTAATGGGTGCAAAATGAAAAACCTCAACAAAATGTAGCTTTCTTCTGGCAATACTACCAAATAACTGTTAATATAGGTTGGAAGAGGGAGATAATCCTGGACTCAGGGATTTAGGGAGTTAGGTCAGAAATTAGCAAGCAGCCTTCAAAAAGTAGTGATCTATGGATTACTTCCGCTACTTTGTGTAAGTGAATACGGAAACATATGGTTGGACAGATGGTGCCAGAGGGAGAGTTCATTTGATTCTTATGACACACGGACCAGTTCCAGGGAAAGAAGTCCTTTATCGGTCAGACAGAGTGCACAGAAACAAAGCCAGGCCCAATTTACCTGCAGGGTGATTTGCAAGTGCTCCTGAGGTGACTTTAAATTAAATTGACCATTCTGAAGAAGGGTCATTGGACTTGAAATATTAACTCTGCGTTCTCTCCACAGATGTTGCCAGATCTACTGAGTTTCTCCGGCATTTTCTGTTTTTGCTTTAAACTAACTTGGTAGTAATACGGGATACAAGGGTGGAAAGAATATTGGAAGAGACAGATAGCACTTGAGTGAAAAATAGTAAAGTTTTAGGTGGGTTCACCATAAGGAAAGTATTGAATTCTATATTAGGGTTACAGTATATGTCTCTGACAATATGGAGTTTCGTAAATATGACTGATTAGTTGTAAATACAGACAGACACATGGAAATACGATGTGGTGGTGTTACCATATAGTCTGGTTGAAAGAAGGAATATAAAGAATATTCAGGGACAGACGTTGTTCAGGAAAGATAGGAAAGGAAAGAAAGGAGGAAAGGTGGCAGTATTAATATAGAAGGATATTGTAGTGCTGGAGAGAGAGGATGCCCAAGAGGGTCACGGTTAGAATCTATTTGGCTAGAACGAAAGAACAAAAAAGATGCAATTAGCACAATTTGACTGTGGAAAGGTTAAAGATTTTTAAAAAAAATTAATTCATGGGATGTCGGTGTCGCTGGCTGGCCAGCATTTATTGCCCATCTCTTGAGGTGGTGGTGGTGAGCTGCCTTCTTGAACGACTACAGTCCACCTGCTGTGGGTTGACCCACAATGCTGTTTGAGAGGGAATTCCAGGGTTTTGACCCAGTGACAGTGAAGGAACAGTGATATATTTCCAGGTCAGCATGGTGAGTGACTTGGAGGGAAATTTGTAGGGAATTCATATTCCCATGAATTGGCTGCCCTTGTTCTTCTAAATGGAAGGGGTCATGGGTTTGGAAGATGCCATCTGAGGATCAATGGCAAATTTCTACACAGCATCTTGGAGGTGGTATATACAGCTGCGACTGAGCATCGGTGATGGAGGGAGTGAATGTTTGTGGATGTGGTGCCAATCAAGTGGGCTGCTTCATCCTGGATGGTGTCAAGCTTCTTGAGTGTTGTCAGAGCTGCACCCAAGTGGGAAGTATTCCATCGCATTCCTGACTTGTGTCTTGTAGATGATGGATGGGCTTTGGGGAGTCAGGAGAATATTCGCTGTATTATTCCTAGGCTCTGGCCCAGTGTTATAGCCACTGTGTTTATGTGGCAGGTTGAATTGAATTTCTGGTCAATGGTAACCTCAAGAATGTTGATAGTGGGGGATTCAATGATGGTAACACCTGTGGTTAGATTGTGGGTGATGGTCATAGCCTGGCATTTGTGTGGTGCGAATGCCACTTGCCGCTTGTCAGCTCAAGCCTGGATATTGTCCAGATCTTGTTGCATTTGAACATGAACTGCTTCAGTATCTGAGGAGTTGCAAATAGTGCTGAACCTTGTGTAATCATCATCGAACATTCCCACTTCTGATCTTATGATGGAGGGAAGGTTGTTGATGAAGCAGCTGAGGATGGTTTGGCAAATATGAGCAAGAATGATTAATTGAGGTAAAGCCAATCTCAGTGGGATATGAATGGATCTGTTATGTAAAATGAAAGATTGGCAGGCAAAACTATAATGGAACAATAGGCTGCTTTTAGAGATAGAGTTCCAGTATATTAAAATCAATTCTCACCAAGGGGGTGGGAGGAAGCTAAGGAGAATACATCTAGAGTGCCTGGGATGACCAAAATGGAGCTGGAAAAATGTGCATATTACAGATGTCAGATGGATAATAATCTGACAGCCAGTTTGAATTTTGAAAGTTCAGAGGAGAAGCAAAAAAAAAAAGTACGAGATTGGCAACTAACATAAAAGTGAATCCAAATTTTTCTACAGGCATATAAATAGTAAAAAATTGGTTGAAAGGCATGATGCTGATTTAGGATTAAAAAGGGAATTGGCACAATAAACCAGGGGCATGGCTGAGGTATTAAATGAGTACTTTGCATCTGTTTTTTCAAGGAAAAAGACTCTGCATAGGTTATGGTCAAAGGAGAGTTAGTACAAATATTTTAAGAGTTTAAAATTGGTAAGGAGAAGCATGGATAAGCTGTCTTTACTTGATTTTTGTAAGACATAGGATCAGAAGAGCTGCATCCAAGGATAGCGAAATAAGTGAGAGTAGAAAGTGCCAAGGCACTGAGCATAAACATGTAGACATATGGACAAGAGTAGACAGGGAAAAACTGTCCCCATTGATAGAAGGATCAAAAATCAGAGGGCACAAGAAGCAATTGCAACAAGGATTTTCTTTCACTCAAGTGGTTAAGCTCCAGAATGTATTGCCTGAGACTGTGATAGGGCAGGCAGAGTTAAATGAGGCTCTCTAAAGGGAATTGGACCATTTGATGAAAATGAAACATTTGCAGGGCTGTGGGGAAAAGAGGGGTGAGTGGCATGAAGTGAATCGCCAGCACATATATAATGGGTCAAATAGCCTCTTATGTGCTGTAACCATTCCAATACACTACATGCTTTCAAGGCTTCACACCATTCCCTGTGGGAGGAAAAAAGAGTGTAAAGATATACAACACAACGTCTATGACATGGCCAGAATATAGGCCAAAGGCAAACAGTGACAGGAAGTGAGAAGTGATAAATAGTACATGTAATGGGAGGGGAGGAAAAATTGTTCAACAGTACTCAAAAACAGTTCAGGGAATAACCAAATAGGACAATATTTTTGCTACAACTATGTTTGAAACCAGTAATCAAATGGACTCTTCTCTACATACAGCTGAGTGGTTTATTTAATGCTAATTTTTCACTGAGAAACTTGCAATCTGTAGGAGCTTTGAAAATATGTAAATATAGCATTTTTTAAAGAAAGGGATACGATTGTAGTGGAGTACACAAGAGTCAACATCTAAATGCTGCAAAATAAAACTTCCCGATAAATGTTTTGGGGTTGTAAGCTGCTTTTAAGTTCAACTAACTGCCAGACATTTACACAAGTCTTCTTCACTTTTGCATTCATCGATTTCACCATGACCCTCAAAGCACTTGTAAAGCAACTTTCCTGGATGCCGACAAATACTTATTTTTGATCAAGAAGCTTCTTCTACATCACAGAGATCCATGTTTCAAGTTTTCAAAAATACTGTGACAAGTAAGGCAGCCTAGTACGAGAACTCTACTTGCTTGCTGAAAATGTTCACTTCTGCATCAGCTACAAAATGAACATTTTGGTTAATTTACATTCTGTAATATATCTCCATTCGGATCAACTGCTTGAAACAAATACTCAACTGACAAAAAAGGCTTTTGGAATATATTCTCTAGCACCTTACCATATTCCCGGTGTGTTCTTTTGTTTCAGTTTCCTTATCCTGGGCATTCTGGCCATTTTCACTCTCTGATGAATACTGCTGTACAGTGACGGGAACTTGTTTCAAGTGTTGCAGCTGTGCATATTGCAACTCCTGAAATCATACAATACTCTGTAGTTAATAATCTATAAAGAAGTTCAGCAGTGAACTAATGATGGTATTAACAAAATAAAAAAAAGGAAACCAGACTCTAGGTGTTACTCCAGGGTGGCATGGTGGCTCAGTGGTTAGCACTGCTGCCTCACAGCGCCAAGGACATGGGTTTGATTCTAGCCTCAGGTGACTGTCTGTGTGGAGTTTGCACGTTCTCCCTGTGTCTGCGTGGGTTTCCTCCAGGTGCTCTGGTTTCATCCCACAATCCAAAGATGTGTAGGTTAGGTGGATTGGCCATACTAAAATCTAGGATAAGGGTTGGGTCTGGGTGGGATGCTGTTTGGACACGGGCTGAATGGCCTGCTTCCACACTGTACGGATTCAATGATCTTCTATTCTATGATCTAGTCAGAGGGAGGAAGCAAAGTTGCCCAGAGAACAATTTTGCACCTATTGGCAGCAAGTACATCGCACAATTGTCAGAGTTATGAGTGTCTAGAAGACTTAAAAATTAGGCAAAAACTACCATAAAAAGCAAGGAAAGAGAAGAAAATTAAATTTTACAGAAGTATTTTTATGATAAGATGCACATTAGACTTAGAGAGAGGCATTTTATTTGAGTAAGGTTTTAAATAAGAGAAGTATTACACACACTAAGACAATCATCACCTGTGTAGTGAGTTGGTACTGTAAGTGCTCCAGAGTGGACAGACGATTCTGCACTTCCTGTGCTAGCTCTCTGGGAGACTGTGCAATTGGATCTGAATAGCCTACAGCAACAGGGGGCTGAAAATCTGCAAGTGAAAGGTATAGTTAAATGGTTGCATTCAGCAGTATCTGCAAAATAATGAAAACATGATCATAAAATGTAAATGGCAGTGACATGCAGAAAATGTTTATCACTGTAATTGGAACTGAGCTATGGTATTGATATTCTTTTGTACTTACTGAATTTATGCTGTTCTACAAAATAAAATTCTTATAAACCTGATAACAATGAGTTGTGTAACTGGTGACATACCATCTAATTTAGATCTAACCAGTTCTGCACGGAGTCGGTTCCCCATCTCAATCAATTGCTGTTTGTCACGGGATAGCTGACTGATGTAACGAGCTGCCTGCTTTAGTTTGCCTTGCAAAACAGACACTGTAGGACTTTGCTGCTTTGAGGGACTGTTAACCAATTTTGAGTGTACCAGTTGTTGTCGTAGTTGCAGAATTTCTCCCTGAAGCTCCTTGAAGAGTTGAGTCTGGGGTAGAAGAGGAACCAATGAATAATCACCAACTAACTCCTGAAACTATTATAATAAACATTTGATGGGTTAAAAGCAACAAAGATTTCTGTGTAGTTTTGAGATTTGTTCCTGGCAATCTTGAGGACTTAATTGCTTCTAAAATATTTCAAGGCATAACTTTCTTATTTCAGCTGTTAGGATCCTGCCATTCACATCTCTTTGACATATAACTTTTATTTCTTTACCTGTTGCGTTAGCACTCCTTTTAGTCTTACACATGAAATTTACCCTTTTGTAATTTAATCTTCCTTCTGCACTATCAGCCTTTCCCCACTGCATTGCTAAAAAAGAGACAGACATGCTGTTGCCGCTTTTAGAGTAATAGAGACGTATGGCATGGAACCAGATCCTTCAGTCCAACTCATCCATGCCTACCAGATATCCTACATTAATCTCGTCCCATTTGTCAGCAATTGGCCTATATCCCTCTAAATCCTTCCTACTCATGTACCTATCCAGATGCCTTTTAAATGTTGTAATTGTACCAGATTTCACCACTTCGTCTGGCAGATCATCCCATACACGCACCACCGTGTGTTTGAAAACGTTGCCCCTTAGGTCCCTTTTAAATCTTCCGCCTCACCTTAAACCTATACCCTCTAGTTTTGGACTCCACTAACCTGGGGAAAAGATCTTGGCTACTCACCCTATCTGTGCCCCTCATGATTTTATAAACTTCTATAATATCACCCCTCAGCCTCTGACGGTCCAGGGAAAATAGCCCCAGCCTATTCAGCCTCTCTCTATAGCTCAAACCCTCCAACCCTGGCAACATCCTTTTCATCTGAACTCATCATGACAGACACAAGAATGTCAAATTTCAAAAGGAGCAACAATTTATACTGCACAAGGAAAAAGGTGCTCATTGATTGCACAGTGGAACTAGTGTCAACTTGCCATTCTCAATGGCATTGTCTTGACCAGTCAGAGTAAACTTATCACTTAAACACACAAATTAAGAGAGGGCATAAATAGGATGTGTGTTAGTGGTACTGTGACGATGCTGTGGCTTTAAGAGGTATGCTTTGTCCTGTTTTCCTTTAGAGAGAGACTGGGGCACAGGTGACAAGCAGTCTATGAGAAGATAAACAACTTATGAAGCCTTAGGTGTTTCTTTTTAAAAAGCTGGAACAATAGAAACAACCTGAATGGGTGTGGTCAAACTCCCATAGAACCAGGATCTTTAGTTCAACTTTCAGCAGTTGCTGTTGGGGTTTTGAAGAAGTGGAAGCTATTTTTTGTTCACCTCTTGATTTTAGCCAAAAGTTGGGGTTTCTCTACCTGCAACGGGAGCTGCAAGTGAGACAATCTGTTTTCTGAAATTGCCTTTTGCCAAGAGAGTGTGTTTATGGCATATTACTATATTGGAACATATACTGTTTAGTAGTAAAATAATCTCTTATTCTGTTAAGTTTTCCAATAGAGTTAAATTATTCCTCTTTCTTTTGTTGTACTTTAACTATAGTATTCGAATAAATTGTGTTTTGTTTAACATTGAGTAGTTTGACCAATTGAATTGGGTCTGGAACACAGCATTTTACATTTACCTTTAAAATAGCAAAAAGTTATGGTCTAGGCTACCTTCTTAATTATTTTGAGAGGGTCTGGTCTGGTCCATAACTGTAGTCTGTACTAACTGAATCATATTCGGTAACCAATGTACAAAACAAGTTAGCTACATACAATGATCTCCCCTTATACTTGTTAAAATGCTTCAATCGTTTAGCACGACAAATTACTGTCTGTTTGTGGCCAAGGCCTTTATGCAAATACTTTTCCTAAATTGCATAATGTATACGGTAGTGTAAAATGCTATTTGTATTTCATACGTTATATTAGAGCATGGTCATGGTAGATACAGCTACAAAAGCCTTTACAAGTTTATTGATGGAAACAGATTCAATGGTAATTTTCAAAAAAATAGAACTGGCGCTTAGGGAAGGGAAAAATTGCAAGGCAAAGGGAAAAGAGCAAGGGAATAGGATGAATTGACGGTCTTTTAAAAGGTCGGCACAGGCTCCATTCATTGAATGGCCTCTTTCTGTGGTATATAACTGTTATTTGATCAGTTAAATTTGATTTAGTGCACAGAGAGAGAAATTGTGTCAATCCTGTATGTTGCTGCAAGCAGTTACAAATAACAGGTAGCCTCAGGATCTGTAGCATCTGGTTTAGAAGGAAGCAATGCAACATGCTGAAAAGTTGTTAATAGGAGCTTTTAACTCTCTTACTTTGTTGTATATTCCATTGATAAAAGTCTATAAGAAACCAATGAAGTGTAAAATAGACCCAAATAAGTGCATTGTGCTAAAAATGAACTTTTATTGAAGTTGGCTAGGCATGTAAGGGGTTCATAACATCTGTGGATAGATCCACATTTCTAACTAAATTCAAATTATTGATTTAATATGAGGATGTTTGATATCTACCTGCCACCACTGATTTCAATTTTTAAAAATGTGCTAACTGTATACTAGATATTCAGGTTAATAAAGCACCGGTGGTATTATCTAGTTTTTTGGAATCCATAGTTGACACAAGTCCAATTATTGCTTAGGATTTTGAAGCCCTTTGGGCGATGTTTGAATGAAAAAATAAATTTGACAGTTTCAAACTCCTTAGAAGGTTTTCCTGTATTAGCAAAGATTCAAATCTGCTAGACACACACACAGGTTATATTTTTGTAATTCTAAATTGGGCTATGTAAAGTAACACTGAAGTGTTTTGTTTTGAAATGCATATACAGTGTCAACACCTATTATAAAGAGGAACAATTCTTCTCCATGGGCAATAACGGATTAAACTATTCTAGTGAAGGAAATGGTACAGACAGGAGACCCTCAAAGGGAAATCTGGGTGTAAACAATTTATTCAAAACTGGATGTCTTGTAAATAATAGCTTTGACGTAGGCATGTACCTGTTCAACCACAAATGGAGTACAGCCACTCACCAAATCCAGCTTCAGAGCTGAAACCTGGAAAGAAGATTAATATTTGACATGAGTTTTTCCTTCCCATCCTTTCAAAATTATTAATAGCTAACTAAGCATAACACTGTCAGGAAACCTGTTCAGATCATTTTCAATGCAACTCACAATCCAAAAACAAGATGTCCTATAGTTTATGTGGCTCCACCTAAGGAGATACCTCTGATTGCACAAGTACTTCTTCTAGCCAGAATTAATAACTTGACAAGAGAGGACCATTTTCTCTGAAACTATATCAGTGTTATGGCAGGTACTAAGTCAACTCAAAGCACCTTCTTTCAGAAACAGGAAATGCTCATTCTCCCCATTGTTGACATTTCAGGAATATTTTGGCAGATCCAAGGAATATATAAATAACTGTTCTCTTGAAGTCATTTATTTTTGGATCCCAGCCAACAATTTGCACTAGATATATCGCCTTTAATGCAGTAAAACATTCCAAGGTACTTCAGAGGCCAAGGCACACAAGAATATATTTGAGCAGATGCACACATTTCGATTAAGGAGAGCGTTAAAAGGAGAGGCAAGTAGGGAGGCAGAGGGATTTAGGGAGGGAATTCCAGAGGTTAGGACATCAGTAGCTGGACGTGTGGATACCAACAAGGGGTGATTAATGGGTAATTAAAATCAGGAACAAAAGGCCAGAAGTAAAGTAGAACAGAAATTCTGGAGGGTTGAGAGTTGAGGAAATTAAAGATATGGTGTGATTTAAAAAGCAGGACTAGAATTTTAAAACCGAGGTAACATTGGAGGTTAGAGAACAGAGTGGTCATGAGTTTTGAATGCATTCCAATTGAGGGAAAGTGGAAAAAGGAAGGTCAGCCAAGAAAACATTAAAATAGTCAAGTCTAAAAGTAGCAAAAGCAATGATAAGGGTTTTGGTAGATAAGGTGAGCCACGGGTTTGATACAGGATTACATGAAGATGGACAGAAGCATCCCTGATCATGAAGCTGATCTGGTTGATAAATGATGTGAAGCTCAGCATCAGATAGGCTGGCAGGGCTCCACTCATCTGGCTGAGCTTTAGAAAGTGACAAAAAGAGGCATAGAACAGATTTGATAGCTAAAGAATGAAATTTTTGGCAGGGACAGAAAGCAATTACTTTTGTTTTCTCAATAATTAACTGGACAAAGTTTCTGCTCATTCAAGACTGATTGTTATACTAGGATGGCAAAAATCATATACGGTGAAGAAATTGAGAATGAATGGCGAAGCTGAGCTGTTATGAAGGTACAGATGGAACCAACAGTTGGATCTTCAGATGATGTTGCCCAGAGCCAGCATGTGGATGAGAAATAGGAGGGAGCCAAAAATTGACTCTTGCTGATCTCCAGAGGTAACAGTGCAGGAGTGGGAACAAAAACCCACTGTAGATAATTTTCTGACTACAACTGGACAGATATGAATGGAAACAGTGCATGCAGTCAAACCGTGCTGGAGGACAGAAGAGAGGCTTTAGAAACAGTAACAGGAGGAACGGTTTCAAAAATGAAACATGTTTATTTTGGGATTTAGAAACAGAATTTAACTCATTACCTCATTTCCTAAAGCCAGAGTTTCTGCGTTTTGTTGAAGATTCCCCTTAAAGTATTCATCTGCCTCCCTGTGTGCTTCTACCAACTGTAATTCCAGTTCAGAAATTCGCTCATTTAGCCTCACAATTTCTGCACTTGTTCGTTGTTGTTGGCTGGTTAATTCATATCTCAGTTGGTCGATTTCAACCTGCTTCTGACGTAACTGTGAAGAAGGAGAAACTTTACAGAAATCCAGGTAAGAAGTCAATTTCAGATTTCCATTTAAACAGACATACGTGAAACAGAGCATAAGGTTCTCTTATTTGTAAGCTTAGTTGCAATTGGCAGTGAGAAGCATCCTATGTTGCATGTGGATTTTATTATAACTGAAGAACAGTTAACAATTGTCAGCAAACATAGTAAGCCATGAAGTTTACATTTTCAAACTCTTCACATATTATTAGTAAAAAAATTTACAGCTTCATGCCAGAACATGATAGGCTGAATTTTATACGACAACTGTGTGCAGGAAAACAGGTGAGTGGATCCATAAATTTCAGCGGCATTCCATTCGGGCTGCAGACCCTCCTATCACTGACCTGCCCAACCCTGTTCCTACTGTGATTTCATGAGCAGCTGTGTTGGGTGGATACCCAACCATGGCCCCATTGAGGACCTTAATTGAGGAAATAATACCCAATTAAGGACCTCATCTCACTGGTCCTCAGATTTAACAGGCTGTTGAGAGTCCAGTGTTCACTCACGCTAGTTTAACCTGAGGGCTGCTGACTAATTGAAGGGGTGTGGTTGCCTCTTTCTGGGCCCCCAGTGCCAATACGCAGTTCTACTCCACAGCTGTTTGTCCCTACATGCACTCTTTCCACTCTCTGCCATGTTCAACATGTCTGCAGCCTCTCCTGGCTGGGCCCTGTCACAGCTCTATCTGCAAGTCCATATCTATCATAGAATACTATCTCGCTGACTGACCTGATCTGGAACCTGAGCCGTGGCCACTGTTCCAGCTGGTGCTGCCAATGTGCAGAGCAGCTGGCTTCCCATTGCCAGCAGCTCTATGAAGCAGGGCTTCTTCCTATAGATAGATGGAAGCCCCATTTCATATTAATTAAAGAACCATCACCTGAAAAATAGGCATGTTTCTGACATGTAGTAGCAGCTGTAATTTAGCCTGAAGACTGTACAATTTCCTGGTGATAGTTTTCATTGTCTAAGCTCATAAAAGATTTAGAGGACATTCCAGGTATTCTCTAGGGAGAATACACGCACAATATTTTAAGAGTGCAACACTCAGGTTTTAGTTCATGGGGGACTACATGCTTATGGAAACTGCTGCTAATTTTTAGTGCGTAAAGAGATTAAAACCTGTGAAAACAAGCAAGTGTGACTTATGTTATCTGAACTCTAGGAGTGCGATAGAACACACTCCAGATTTCCCACAATGGCTCTGCAAGTTTATCCTGTGATTAGCTGCCTCTTACAGCCCAGATAATTTCCATATCCAATCTCTGGTCTGTGTCTGAGGTAAGATTATTTTGGCTAGGCTGCAGTGTCCCCTGGATTCTAAGAGAAATTAATCAGTGATCCTGTTGTGATCACATACAAGAGTCAAATAAAGAAACAATCAAGCTCAGATGTAATGTTCCTGCAACAGAATAGCCAAACAGCATTCACATTTGAATAATAGCTACCAAGCTGTTGACATAAAACTTGAAAATATTGTGATATGAGAGGAGGATAGCAATAAAACTCAGGGACGGCACGGACAGGCTGGTGTACCGTGCGATCAAGTGATGCTTGAAATTTACTGCAGGAAAGTATGAAGTGATTCATTTTGTATGGAAGAATAAAGCGTTTCTATATGACAAGTGTAAGGCCTGGTGAGAACTAAGGGTATATATAAACATTCACTGAAGGTGAAAGGGCAGGGAGAAATAGGTCCCATTGGCAGAAGACTCAAGAACCAGAGGACATCAGTTCAAAGTGAGTAGCAAAAAATGCAAGAGCAACAGGAGGAAAAATCTTTTCATGCAGCAAATGGTTTAGATCTGGAATGCACTGCAAGTGTGGTGGTGTCAGTTAGCTCTGTTAGCTGGACAGCTGGTTTGCAATGCACAGTGATGCCAACAGTGCGAGTTTAATTCCCACACCAGCTGAGGTTACCATAGAGGATGCTCCTTCTCAGTTTCTGCCCTTACCTGTGCCACAGTGATCCTCAGGTTAAACCACTGCCAGTTGTCTCTCTCTAATGAGAGCTTGGCCCTATGGTTACTTTACTTCTTTGGGAGCCAGTTAGCTCAGTTGGCTGGATGGTCAGCTTGCAATGCATAGTGACACCACCAGCCTGGGTTCAATTCCTGCACCGACTGAGGTTACCATGAAGGACCTTCCTTCTCAACCTCTCTCCTCACCCGAAGCGTGCTGAACCTCAGATTAAATCACCACCAGTCGTCTCTCTCTGTTGAGAGTGCAGCTCTATAGGCTGGTAAGACTATGGCGGCTTTACTTTACATCATAATAACTACATTGACTGACCAGCGTTTTGGAATATCTTTAGTTCCTGAAAGATACTACACAACCGAAAATTCATTTTCTTTTAATCATGGTAAATAGCTCTGCAATTGTATTTCACAGGATGTTCTTAAAAGTACAAATACATGCAGAGGTATACTCACCATGAAGAATTCTATCTTTGTCTACAGTCAGTCATTTGAAAAATGTCCTATTTGATGGCAGATTTATATTTTTTAGTTTATCCTTCCTGCAGCCTTGTGGAGATGCAAGTTGTCTTGAATTATCTGTATTAATTGGGCTTTGACAATAAGCAGTGTTATTGAGTCAGCAAGAATCTTATCCTTTCAGGTTGTGATTCAGACTAACTGGTAATTTTACCCATGGTCTGGCGGATGGAAAGATCTGTCCATCTGCTTGGAGGCAATTTCACTATAGGTTTCTACATGAATTATCCAGATTTTTGTCAAACATTACCTGTTGTGTGAGCTGTCCTACCAGAAAGTTCAAATGTACAATCCTAGCTTCATGCTTCTTTGTAGTAGTAGCTGCAGAGATCTTTTCAGCTCGAAGGCCAGCTAATATAAAAGGGGGTAAAAAAAGAGATAGATGTATAAAACATATATAAAGTACAGAATTAATCCTTTCAATGTTATTGAGGCACATTTAAGTAGTCAAGGCTAAATAGCAAAACGATATGGGCTTAAACTCCAAAGTGAAGATTTAAGCTTTTGCCACTAATAATACCTCAATAAGTAATGTAAAGTGTGAAATGCTGTTCCCGAGAAGGCCGTTGATTAAAAATTGATAAATGTGTTGTCAGGCAATGTTATGGTGATGGGGATAGGAGGTCTTTGTCACTGTAGAGGTGCATAGTTGGAAACTAATTTCGGGGTCAACTTTAACACCAGGGTTGCAAACAATCTGGCTCAGCTTCAGTCATTTATCAGGTAGAAGAATAGAATTGGTAGCTAGGGAATGGAATCTACGACAATGGTTTGGTCTTTCCTCTTATTGTACAACTTAAGTTTAAGTGTCTACAAGTGGAGGTTGTATAGTTCAGAGTCATATTTGAAATATTTCATTTAGTTAGTAAATCTAAACTGAGTACATATTAACATCTCTTTTCTTCCACCTTTAGGCAATAACTCCCTACTATCAGGTTAAACTTCTTACAACCAGCTGATTGATTTCTGAACAATTTACAATCTTTATTCAGCTTAGATTTATTGACAAACTGGCCCATTCGAAATGTAGGTACTTTCTAATCAGTTCATTCAGAGATGGTATTACATACCTCTAGAGCAGATGCGACTTGAATGCAGGCCTCTTGATTCAGAGGTAGGGACAATACCAGTGTGCCAAAAGAGCTTTCATGTTGATATTTTCTAATCAATATGATCAGAGGTATTATTAAACACCTCTGGAGTAAGTGGGACTTGAACCCTGACTCTTGATTCAGAGATAGAGACACTAACATTGCGTCATTAGAGCCCTAAATGCCTTCACATAAAGCTCCTAACGCTACCACCCTCATCAGAGGGCACTTAAATGTAATTTATACAATTAACACTCCCAATATTTAATTAGGGAAGGTTTCTATATATTCAATACTGGATGTTGGACAAGCAGTTTTGGCATTTTAGAGATAGTGCAGTGGTTAAAGGAAATGGTGCTGTTGTACAGCTGAGGGATACATGTGGAAAGTAACACTAAGCTTTTAGATGCTGCTGCTGAGGCGCAGCATGTTGATGAGAAAGAGGAAGGGTCCAAGAACAGGAAAATAAGTTAGAGTCATAGTGTCATCTAGCATAGAAACAGGCCCTTCACTCTACCATGTCTACGCTAATCAACAAACACAAAACTACACTAATTACATTTACCTGCACTTGGTCCATAGCCTACTATGCCCTGGCATTTTAAGTACTCATCTAGATGCCTCATAAGTGTTGCAAAAGTACTTGCATCCACATTCCATCTGGCATTGCTCTGTCAATTTTACCAGCTGATCAATATCAGACTGTAGCCTGAGACCATCCTCTTCACTATCAACATCACCAACAATTTTCATCTCATCTGCAAACTTACTAATTATACCTTCCGTATTCACATCTAAGTCACTGATGCACATAGTAAAACAGCAAGAACCATGTCCAAAACATGTGGTACACTGCTGGTCACAGGATTCCAATTACAAAAACAACCCTCCACCATCACCCTTTGCCTCCTGTTTGTAAGCCAATTTTGGGTCCAGTTTGCAAACTTGCCTTGGATCCCATGGGGTCCTACCTTTTGGACCAGTCTTCCATGTAGCACCTTGTCAAAGGCCACATCAACTACATTACCCTCGTCAATATATTTAGTCCACTTTTCAAAAAACTCAATTAAATTAGTCAGACAGGATCTTCAACTAAATATCAGTGCTGACTATCCCTGATCAATCCCTGCCTTTCCAAGTATTTGATTAATCCTATCTTTCAGAATTTTTTCTAATAATTTCCTACCATTGATGTCACGCTAACTGGTCTGTAATTACTTGCCCTAACCCTGTTGCCCTTCTTGAACAAAGGAACCATATTAGCTATCCTCGAGTCACCTGTGGCCAGCAAAGTATTAAATATATCTGCTAGGGCCCCAGCAATCTCCTCTCTTGCTTCCCATGACAGCCTGGGATACATCTCATCAGGCCCTGGGGATTTTTTCTTTATTCGTTCACAGGATAAGGGCATCACTGGCTAGACAGCATTTATTGCCCATCCCGAATTGCCCAGAGGACAGTTAAGAGTCAACCACATTGCTGTGGGTCTAGAGTCACATGTAGGCCAGACCAGGTAAGGATGGCAGTTTCCTTCCCTAGAGGACATTAATGAACCATATGTTTTTCCAACAATTGACAATGGATTCACAGTCACCATTAGACTTGTGATTCCTGATATTTATTGAATTCAAATTCCACTATCTGCCGTGGCGGGACTCAAACCCGGGTCCCCAGAGCATTATCTGGGTCTCTGGATTAACAGTCCAATGAGAATGCCACTAGGCCATGACCCTCAGTGCCTATTAAAGCATCTAATACCTCCTCCTCCTTATTAATCTAAATGTTTTCCAGAACTTCACCAGCCCAACTGAAATCCTCACCTACACTGTCTTTCTCCTATGTGAATGTAGATGAGAAGTATTTATTTAAGACCTCATCCACGCCCATTGGCTCCATGCACAGGCTGCCCCCTTTGGTATCTAATAGGTCAGACTCTTTCCCTAGTAATTCGCACACTATTAATATACTTATAAAAAGCCTTGGGGGTTTTCCTTGATACCATCTGCCAAAGATATGGTCCCTCTTTGCCCTCCTCATTTCCTTTTTACGCAACCTCCTATAATTTCTGTACTTTTGAAGGCCTCCCTCCTTTTATGATGCACCATACCTGACATATGCTTTCTTCCTTTTTTTTCATTAAACTCTTGTTGTTCTTTGACATCAGGGTTCTGCAGAAATACTGCCCTTGCTCTTAGGAGGAACATGCTGGCCTTGAATTCTCACTGTACTACTTTTAAAAGGCTCCTACATTCCATCTGTCATTACTCTGTCCATTTTACTAGCTGATAATATCAAACTGTAGCTTAAGACCATCGCCGTTACAATCAACAACACCACCAATTTTTGTGTTATCTGCAAACTTACTAATTATACCTTCCACATCCACATTCAAGTTGTTAATGTATATAACAAAACATTAAGGATTCCAGCAATGAACTGTGTCTTACAAAGCTGGTCATAGACTTCCAATTACAAAAGCAACCCTCCATCATCATCATTTGCTTCCTATTTGTAAGCCAATTTTGGATCCAAGTAGCTCTTCCCAGTCTATGCTTGCTAGATCCTGTCTAATTAAATTGAAATTAGCCTTCCCTTAGTTTAAACACTTAACTTCTGCACTATCCTTATCCATAATGACTTTGAAACTTACAGAGTTATGGTCACTATCCCCAAAATGCTCATCCAATGAAGCTTCAAACTCTTGACCAGTTTCATCTCTAGGATTAGGTCTAGCAATGCCCCATCTCTAGTAGGACTAGCAATGTATTGACACAAAATGCTCTCCTGGACGCTCTTTAAAAATTCCACCCTGTCTAATCCTTTCACACTAAGGCAATCCCTGTTAGTACTAGCAAAGTTGAAAACAACTATAACCCTGCTTCTCTCACACCTTTCTGTGATTTGCTTTTGCATCAGCTCCTCTAACTCCTTTTGACTTTTGGGAGGCCTGTCGTGTAATCTCAGCAAGGTGATCACTCCTTTTTTAAATTTCTGAGCTCTACCCGAATGACCTTATTTGAAGACCCTTTTAGGGCACCCTCCCTCATTACTGCATTGATGCATTTGCTTTATCAATTACGCAATGCCCCACCTTTCTTACACCTCCCCGCCCACCACTATGATGCCTGAAACCTCTATACCCTGGAATGTTGAGCTGTCAGTCCTGCTCTTACTTCAACCTTATCTCAACAATCACAACAATATCATATTCCCATGTGCTGATTAATGTTCTAAGTTCATCTGCCTTATCAGTCAAGCTCTTGCATAAAAATAGAAACAATTTACCTTTCTAGCGCTCCTATGTGCCATATCCTGGCCTTGTCATCTCCACCTACTAGATTGTTCTCGCATTACCCCTCCCACTGCCAGATCAATTTAAAACCTCCCCAATAGCACGAATAAACTCCCATCAAGGAATGAATCCATTCTGGTTCAGGTGCAACCCCTCTATTTTGTGTGGGTCCCATTACCCCAGAAGCTGTCCCAATAATCCAAAAATCTAAAGCCTTCCTTCCTACATCATCTGTTTAGCCACACATTCATCTGATTTATCTTTGTATTTCTATACTCGGGAGCACGTGGCACCGGAAGTAATCTGGAGATTGCAACCTTGGTGTCCTTTCTCTTCAAACCACTGCCCAGCTCTCTAAATTCCTGCTGCAGGAACTCATTTCTAGTTTTACCCATGTCTTGGTACCGACATGTACCACCAACTGCTGGCTGTTCACCCTCCACTTCAGGACATCCTGCAGTCACTAGAAGATATCCCTGACCCTGGCACCAGGGAAGCAACATATGATTCAAGAGTCTTGCTTGCTGCCACAGAACCACCTGTCAGTTTCCCTTACAATCCAGTCCCCTATCATTAAAGTTTTCCCAGTCTTTTTTCTTCCCTGCTGTGCAGCAGAGTGAATTGTGGTGCCTCAATCTTGGCTGCTTTCCTCTGAGAGGCCATTCTCCCCAGTAGTATCCAAAATGGTGTATCTGTTTGGAGGGAGGTGGCTGCAGGGGACTCCTACACAGTATGCTTACACTTACTAGTCTTTCTGGTGGTCACCCAATGCTTTTCTGATTGTGTAGCCTTTACTTGTGGTGTGATCAGCTCGCTAAACTTGTTATCCACAATGTCTGCAGAATCTCGGATGGTCCAATAGTGAGTCTATCCACAGCTCCAGGTGCTACATGCGGCTAGTCAGGAGCTGCAGTTGAACACACTTCCGGCATACCTGATCACATATGATTTCCCACATATTAGAAAAGGAGCATTCCAAGGGGCCAAGTTCTCCTGCCATTGTGAACCTTATCAACTATGGACAATTAACTAGGAACCAATTACTTTACCTTCTTACTTAACCAAAGCAGATTTCTCCCTCAGTCTCATTTCTTAACAACTACAATCAACAAAAATAAAAATTTTACACTCTCTCTCCTTCCCGGTACTACTCACTCAGTCTCTAAAATTGGTTCCTAAGAAATCGATTCTCTTGCTGTACGTCACTTTTTGATCAGGAGCTCAGCCTCTGGATACAGATTCACAGGTTATGGCGGGTTATTCTCTAGCTATGATTGAATGCGCAAGAATGGAGCCACAGAAATGCAGTCCGAACCAGTTCATTGCTAGTGAAGACATGTTGGAGAAGGTGGCATAGTCAACCATTTCAAAGAATGCAGACAAATCAAGGAAGAAAGAAGAGGGATAGTTTACCTTCGTTAATCATGAAGGGTGACAGAAGTAAATTGGACAGAAAGGCAAAGCAGGTGATCATCTGAGGATCTGAAGATAAAGATTTACAGGGCTTAGGGGAACAAATAGACAGACGTGGGCCCAGCAGAGTTATGTTTGCTGCAACCGTTCTGTGAATCTATCATCACTACAACTTAATAATGCACTCTCTGATGTCCTTGCTGGAATGAGCAAATATAGATGTGATGAAACAACTAAATAGCTGATCCATCAATTGTACATTGTTTGATTTTGTGGAAAACATTATAATTCCCCTGTAATGAATATTGGGTGGATTCACCAACGACTTCAAAGTTGTACATTTATTTTGTAAAAATACCGGTTCAAGATTAATATTCAGATAATGGTGGACTTCCACTCTAAAACAAGGGGAAGATATTCCTGTGGAACAACAAAGAGAACTGTTGGATTAAACAGCTAAATTCATAGATAAGGATCTGGTAAGAAGGGGCAAAGAATTGGAATAATTGCAATGGTGGAAATAAGGGCGGAATCAATTTATGATATTGAATCCAGAGTATCATATAACATTTAAGGATGCTGGTTATCCTTGAAAATGATTAGTAGCAATACGCTATATAATGCTGCTGCAGAAATATTATGTATGTGAACCTGTAGATTCAAAGAGATTGGAGGCAAATGAAGGATTTAAAAATTGCATGATTTGAAATGCTGCATGTTCCAAAATATTTCTTTTTGCCACAATAAATAATTCTTACCTATAGTCTCATTTAAAGTACGAGTGTGGTTCTGAAGATGGGTAATGTCTGCAGTGACAGGGAGGCTTGGAAAGGGAACATTGGTTTTATTGGAAGTTTTTGAAATATCTTCTAGTTGTCCTTCCAACTTTCTGCACTTTTGTTTTAGTTCATGAACCTCATTTTCCAAAGATTTAACATACTCTGAAGAGTAGAGAAATAATATTGGAAAAATTTCAATTTAAAGTATATAGTAACTTTGCATCGGTTTGCTCACATTGTTATACATCTGTGGCAAAATGTAGAAAATTAGTCTCAGTAAACATTTCTGGTTAAAAAACAGAAAGTGCTGGAGAAACTCAGCAGGTCTTTCATCATGTTGGAATAGAGTTAAAATTAAGTTTATTGTCATGTGTACTCAAGTACAGGAGTACAGTGAAAGTGTTGACAATGTCACCCCATACGGCACCACCTTAGCTACAAAAGTACCTAGGTACAAATCTTAGATACAAAATAAGGAAATAAAGAAAAAAGTTACGTTACCTTACAATTATTCATATTATATGTATAAGCTAGAAAAATAAGAAATAACGATGAAGATAGAGAAACACCGTTGACATTTCATGTCCAACATGACTTATTCAGAAGTGCTTCTACTTGGCCCAATGCACAGTGAGCTCACAAACAAAAATGTGATTCCAGGCATTTTTTGAGATTTTAGGAGAGTTTTCTTTCAAACTTATTATGTGCAACAGAATTTATTCTAATTGCCGTCAGATCCATTTTGATTTTATTAAATAAAAGAATAGTAAAATCAGACTGAAATCAGAAATTAGAATAAAAATGTACTAAAATTAAGGACTTGCTGTGAAAAGATGGACTAAAGCATTGCAAAACGTTCACATTACCCCATCAACCTCCCACTGCACTGTGTATCGAGTCTGCACAAATCAAGCTGCCTTTCACCGCATTAGATAGCGGTCTGTACGGAGTCCCCATTCACTGTTCTGGGTATCACTCTGCACCAACCAAAACCCCATTCAATGTATCATGTCAGTTCCACATTCAATCTCTGATGTGAACTTCTCAAATGGGAAAACTGCTAAAAGGGCATTTACTCTCAACTGTTACAGCAGCAAGAAATCAAGGCTCTTACAATCCCACCAGATCGTGTGGAGAATTCATGTAAATTTTCCTACCTTCTCCTGAGGAACTTAAAGTAACTTTTAATGTCTTTGGTACACTTTGGTCCCGACCATCTGCCTGAGCGTAGACCAAGAATCAAACTGAACTGTAGTTTTCAGCTATGTGCTACTTAATAAACTGAGCATTTGAAGGAACTATGAAGAACTTATTGGCATGATTGTATGTTCCAAGTTTGACTAAAAGCTGGTTACCTGGAGTGCATGGGGTCATAATATCTTTAGAAGGTTCTTTGGGGCTCATGAGTGATCCCATCTTATCAACTGATTGGTTCTGGCTTTGGTTGGCAGGATTTTCCTCACTCAGCATCTCCATCTCTTTCCTCATTTGTGCAATAACGGTACGCAGGTTCACATTCTGCTCCTGGAGCTTCCGAATAACATCTGAAGGGAATTCTGCGTTATTTATATTTCCTTTTTGAGGTATTGCATTCTGCCAGGTTGAAGACAAAATGTGATTGAAGACAAAATTGAATTTGTACAAACATGAAAACTCCTCTTTAAATTTTGTATCAGAGGCTCGTGTGATAAAACACAGAGGTTGAGAACGAGAGTAAAATAAGAGTTATCAAAGGGCGTTCTTTGTGATTAATGAGGAAATCTCAGCAAATTCAGAAGATATTCTGCAACATGGTGTGAGTAACTTCTAAAGATCCAATCTAGCAGAGTTGATTGTGAGTGGTACAAATCAAACCTCAGACCATCTGCAACTATTCTGGCTCAGCTGGAGATAACAAAATAAGAATAAATACTAAAAAAAGACACAAGACTGAAAAAGAAGAGTGCCTAGAACTGATGACAAAGAGAAAGAATCAAGAAAACTGGACCCAGTAGTACAGAAGTACAGTGATACTTTTTGTAATTAAATATACAATTCAGAAATGTATTTTTTCTTTTGCACTGTGCACCTCTTCTTTTGGGAGGACAGGTTGATGTTTATTCATTTTGCCTATTCATTTGAATCCTTGACGTAACATAAATAGCAACTAATATTTCACAAGGTTCTCTTTTCTTTAAAGTAAACTAGGCTCCTAAAAGAATCATAGTTTAGACAAGGCAAGTGGAGTTAGGAACATGTTTTTAATGTACTAAGCAAGACTACCTGTATTTCCAATCATTTACAATGCTTTCTCTCTCTCTCACACTCTCACACATTGACTGGTTTATCATCAAATCCCAGATAACAGCATGGCATGCTTTATATCCCTAGCCTCCATCCAGAAGTGTTTCCTCAATGACACCTTCACAAAAGCTTGTGTGACTGTTTGTCATCAACTTATCATGCAGACATCTAGGTTTTATTGCTCATCATGGCTACTGACAGAAATTTGGTCTTTTATGTGATTCTGCTCAGTTGATAGTACTCTCGTTTCTGAGTTATAGGTTTAAATCCCACTCCTGAACTTGCATAGGCAATTTAGGATAATATTCCAGTGCAGTATGTGGAAATACAACACACGGTAAGAGGGAAACACAGCAGCGCCATCTCTCTTCCACTTGTGGTTGAATATCTGATGTATCCTTTCTGTCCCTCCCACCACACCAAAGTTATAAAAAGTAGACACTTCGGGGCTGTGATACATCATCCTGATTTAACTCCTGTAATCTTCATCCACTGGAATATGAATTAGCAAATTTACCATATTTTGCCTCATTCACTTAATTCTGCACTCAGAAGAATGAGTGCTTTTTGGGTGCTCTACATGTTGCTTGATAGTGGTATCAAGTCTTAGGGGATTGCTTAATGGGAAGCAAGTTCATGGTGACATTGTTAGGTTTGTTGCATTTTCCTTGCCTCAGTCACACATACAATAATTGTAAATGGAATAAATTTCTTTCCTTTCCCCTCATCCAACCTACCTCAATCATTACCTATTCCATTTGTTTTAGAATAATGGATGTTACACGATTGTTAATAAGACCAAAGCACTTTTAATTTCAGTAGCAGAAATTTGAATTTAATTAACAGAATGAGTTACCCCAAAAAAGAAAGTTAGTAGATTGCATCCAATATTTTGGAGACTTTAAGGAATAACCAGTGAGAGTTTTGCCTGTACTATGGCTATTTCAGAATAAAGCGGTATTATTCTCATCTACAAATAGGAATCAATGCTTTATTGCAATGGCGCAGGCTGCACTTGACACTTTGATTCACTGATTGGGAGCATCAGATTCTGGGACTAAAATCCACAATGTGTAATGGAATTAGATTAGCAATCACAGGTACGATCTTCCTCCTTCTGTGAATTGTATCAAAATGCCACAAATGAAACTTCCTTCCCTTCCAGCTCATCCTGAGCTAGTAATGTTTGGAACTTGTTTTTGAAATTTTCTTGTCTTTTTTTCCCCCATTATTCCCTTTGGTGGAACATGCACTGCATGTGATTTGGGAAAGTGCGGCACAATTGGAAAGAGAGGTCTCTGACCACAAGGATCAGTGCTGGGTCTACTGCTTTTTATCATTTATTAAAATGATTTGGATGTGAACTTAGGATGTATGGTTAGTAAGTTTGCATTTGACACCAAAATTGGAAGTGTAGTGGACAGAAAAGAAGGCTACTTCAGAGTACAAAGGGATCTTAATTGGATGGGCCAATGGGCCAAGGAGTGGCAAATGGAGTTTAATTTAGATAAATGTGAGGTGCTGCATTTTGGGAAGGCAAATCAGGGGCAGGACTTGTACACTTAATGGTAAGGTCCTGGACAGTGTTGCTGAACAAAGAGACCTTGGAGTTCAGGTTCATAGTTCCTTGAAAGCAGAGTCACCGGTAGATAGGATAGTGAAGGTGGCATTTGGTATGCTTGCCTTTATTCGTCATTGCATTGAGTATGGGAGTAGGGTGGTCCTGTTGCAGCTGTATAGGACATTGGGTAGGCCACATTTGGAATACTGCGTGCAACTCTGGTCTCCTTGCTATAGGCAGGATGTTGTGAAACTTGAAATGGTTCAAAAAAAGATTTACAAGGACGTTGCCAGGGTTGGAGGGTTTGAGTTATAGGGAGAGGCTGAATAGCCCGAGGCTATTTTCCCTGGAGCACCGGAGGCCGAGGGGTGACCTTATAGAGGTTTATAAATTCATGAGAGGCATGGATAGGGTGAATAGACAAGGTCTTTTCTCCGGGGTAGGAGAGTCCAAAATTAGACGGTATACGTTTAAGGTGAGAGGGGAAAGAGTTAAAAGGGACTAAGGGTCAACTATTTCACGCAGAGGGTGGTGCATGTATGGAACAAGCTGCCAGAGGAAGTGGTGGAGGCTGGTACAATTACAACATTTATAACATTTACAAGGCATCTGGATGGGTATATGAATCGGAAGGATTTAGATGGATATGGGCCAAATGCCAGCAAATGGGACTAGATTTATTTAGGATATCTGGTCGGCACAGATGAGTTGGACCGAAGTGTCTGCTTCCATGCTGTATAGCTCTATGACTCTAAATCAAACAATGAAAGGCACCTAACAGGGCTGTACTAGAGTGCTGTAATAGATTGGTGTGGAAACTTGAAGTGTGTCTTCTCAATCCTTGTGGTCTACTCAGTGATAAACATGATGGAATCAACTCTGATTCCAAACCAGTGTCATCAGGCACTGATATAAAGGGTAGCCTTAGTCAATAAGCAACTATTCAGAAACCTGCCTTGGACTTATGAATAGCATTGACATTAGGGACTATTTTAAAATGAAAGAACAACTGCAGCTGCTGGAATAGCTTGCATTCATGTACATAATGAGCTGCTTTATGTTACATTGTGCATTGAGAGAATGGTATTTTGTTCTGATAAGAAAATAGCTTGCTCAAAATTAAGTACGGTTAAGTGTGTCTTGTTGATGACATCTCTCTGTAAATCAATACAGGCAATAAACATGGAAAATTCACACCAACAGGGCACCAGTTACATGCCTGATGCAGCAGCAGTAGCAGAGTGACCGAAGTTATAAATGATCCCCGTGCTGCTGGAAAAATATTGTCATAGGAGTACCCCCGTGATATTTACTGCCATGACAATGCTGAGCTTCTGGTGCAGATGTGCACGCGATCCTCAGCAATAAAGTGACAGCTGTCTCCAATGGTACCTGATGGAGGTTATCCTCTCTGAGCTTCTCTTTATAATCCTATAGACCATCACTTAATGCAGAGGCAACAAGGTAGAGGTATATCAGAATTCTCATATGGAAATACCATTACATTCTAAACTGCAAAGCTGAAATAAGTTTTCCACCATCTGCAATAAAGTTGACAATACTGATAAGTTGGAGATCGTGAAACCGTCATATATTTTCTAACACGTGCATTATCCCAGCAAGAAAGTTTTTGGCAACACATTTACCTCTCCGATGCTATCTAGCAATCAGCAATATTTCTTTCACACAGGTTCTGATTGAGGCAGATCACTGTATGTAAAGGAGAGAAATCCATTGTGGACTTCAGTATAGAACTTAAATCCGATTTACATGCAGCAGATGGGATTTTCTCATGGTTCAACAGGCCACCCTCAATACCGGCACAGGAATATCATAGGGATTTTTTGTTTAAACTGCCAGTGTTTCTTGCATATGCTTGATCAATTTTCCCAGCTATGCTCTCCAGATGAGCTACAACGGCAACAAAATGGGCACCAATAGCAGAAAAACCTGGCTTACTTAAAACCCCAATCAAATTTAGTTACATCCCTCCACCAGAGGGCGTAGTCATTCCATATACTTAAAAGAAGGGACAAATACACAGCATTGAATTTTCAAACGGGAAGAAAATGTAGCAAAATGTTATGCAATTTTGCACTTGTATTTAGCACTTTTTTATGTACTAATTTGCTCTTCTAGAGATCAAATACAGACAGACAGCTTGATGTTTTACAATTTCACAAGTACTAGGAATTATCCCGGGGTAACTATTTCAGGTGGCTATTTATTTACTGAGAGTTTTCGGAGGCTAAATGACAAGGTGCTTTACAGACGACCTCAATATGATCTCCAAACACTAGTCCAAAGTTGCTTAACCCTTGGAGAAAAAAAAATCCCCTCATCTCTGCCTTAAAAAGGATAATCCATCAGTTTTAAACAGTACTGCCTAGTCCTGGACTCACCCACAAGAGGAAACATCATTCCCATATCCGCCTTGTCATGACCATTCAGGATCTTAAAAACTTCCATCAAGTCATTCCTTGCTCTTCTGAACTTTTCTGAAGTTATAGTAGACTCGAAATGATAACTGTTCATCACTCTACAGATACTGCCTGACCAGCTGCGTTTATCCAGTAATTTTTATTATTATTCCATTCTTTTATATTTAATTCCTATTGTATTCAAAGGGTACTATTCAACTAGCCTCCTTCATTACTTACTATATGTAGTGATTGTAACAATGTCAGCCAGGTGGACCTCATAGAATATGAATTCCCTAATTCATCTGGTCCAGTCAGGGAGCCCCTGG